TAAAGGTGGGGGGGGGGGGAACAGAGTAAAACAAGTATAGTTGAGACTTTGAGACAAGGCAGGAAAGCTGGGAAAATTATATGATTTAAGCAAAGAAAGGAATGATAATAGCCTGCAGATGAGGAAAGGACCACTAGAGCACATTGTAGCAATTAGTGAGAGAAGTACAACTGAAGACCAGATTGAACTTCTAAAAATCCATTCATTCTTTCAGGAAGCAGTTATGCACTTAGACAGTGCTGGGCTCCTTCTCATGACTTCTGTTCTGCTGCCTGTCTATTCTTGGACAATTATGGATGCCAAACTAGAATTTTAAGCCCATCTCATGGGCAATGGAAAACAGCCAGTAGAATTTTCGATTGTCATGACTTGCTTGGATTTGTGTTTTGAGGGGCAGAGCTTGTATACACCAAAGAGGTAAGATTGGAATTAAGGAGATCCATCTAGAAGGATAGAGTGATATTCAGATGAGTTCAAAGGCAGGAAGAGTAGGCTTTATTGAAAAATATCTAGGAGGGAGACCAGCTGTTGGCATAATGGCTATGTTACTGGACTTCCATGTAGTCAACTGTGGTTCAAGTCCTGGACCCAGTGGCTTAAACTCACACCGGGCATGAGTTGTGCGCGTGTCCAAGATCCCAAGAGGAGAATGGAGGAGAAGGGATTGTGGCGTGGCCATCCCCCTTGGGGGGTGATTTCTGACTTTCTGTCTCTCTGTCTGTCTCTGTCTTTCTGGCGAGCACACACACCCTATAGTAAAAACCTCTCCAAAAAAAAAAGGAAAACATCTAGGAGGTGAACTAATAATAACAATAGTGTGAATTTATAATTCATAAACAACTACCTTATATGAAAGGTAGTTTCTGTTAATAACTGTATTCTGTAGTTACAAAAATGAAGACCCCACACACCCATGACTCCATTCAGCTGGAATCAGGCTCTCTAACTCTCGAGCCCATGCATCAAACTACCAAGCTGTGATAATCCTGTAATTCTGATATTGCAAAACTGCAATAATTGTGTGACTGTTACCCAGTCTATGCACGTGGCAAACGAGTAGAACTGAGGATGAGCGCGAAAAGTTCCACTTTAATATAGTTAAGTTTGAGTTTAAGATACCAGGCGATGTTTCAGACCATAGAAAAAAAGAGTTGGCAGTGGGAAGATCGTAAACCTAAACCCGTTCCACTGATGTTTTTTGTCACTTGCATCCAGCTGTTATTCTGCAAAGCCCTATGGCAGAAGCGATAAAAGGTTTAACTAAAGTAATCCCGGGTTTAAAGCAAAGTTCTAATAAAGAAAGATACAAAGATATTTCTCTGTATCAGAAAATTATGTTGGAAGTTTGAACTGAGACTTCCCACATCCCAGCTAAAAGGTGGCTCCAAGACACTTCTGGGAGTATATGGGCTATTTTAATTAGAAACTTTTAAGTAAACGGCCCTCAAAGTGATGATTATTGTTTAAATATTACTAAGCTTTTTCATTTTACAGATCTCTATAATACTGTTTGAGTGTACGCAGAACAACCTTGTGTTTGTTCTTTGCAAAGGATAGAGTAGTGCTGACAGTCTGTTCATAATTGGCTTTTTCCCTCTTGCCAATTCAGGATGCCACTTTGTCAATTTGTGTGTCGGGCACATAGGCACTCTTCTATTTTCCAAGTGTGACAGTGCGGGCAGAGAAGAGTGGAGAAGCTGTAAATACAGC